GTAACAGAAAGGATAATTCATTCAGTAATAAAGAATTCAGTATGTTTTCTAATGCCTACCATGTGTTAGGCATTTATTCCACAGTGTCAAGTGTCCTGTACTAAGTTGATCATTTCTTGAGGATAGGTGTCAAGTCTTTTTTTTTAATTTTGGTACTGGGGATTGAACCCTGGGATGCTTTGCTACTAAGCTATATCCCCAGCCATTTTTAGTTTTTATTTGAAGCAGGGTCTTGATAAGTTGCTAATGCTGGCCTTGAACATGTGATCCTCCTGCTTCAGCCTCCCGAGTCACTAGGATTACAGGCATATACCACCACACCTGGCTGTGTCATAGTCTTCTTAATGTATTCCCACAATCTGGCACTGTGACTACTTAATAAATACATGCTGAATAAAGAAATGAATAATGTCTACACATCAATATCGAAAAGAGTTCTAAGAATACTACAGAATGGGAATGTTTATTTAAAAATAAGGATTACAGGTGACATTCTAAGGGAAAAGGGCAAGCTTTTGCAGTTTGAGGGGCTGTGGACAATTAGAATGCAACATAAAGATATTACTGAATTAATTAATGTATTTACTCCTCCATTAATTAATCTGACATTTACTACTGCCAAGGCAACTAAAAAGATAATTAAGATATAGTATGTCTTTATGGATTTATCTTGTAATTAAGAGCTCAGAGTTAAAGGGTGGTAAGCACTGGGGGGGAAATATGAATAAGACATTGTGTCACTAAATAGTGATTCAGACTCTAATGTTATAACATCAGGAAAAGTTTGGAAAACCACAAATCAACTTTTTCTGGTCCACTCTCCTTCGAAATTAGGTCCACAAACCACAGTTTTCAAACTTTTGCATATATAAGGATCACCTGGGAATCTCATTAAAGATGCAAGGAAACTTTCCTTGATATCTTGATTCTGTGGATCTAGGATTTTACAGTTACTAAGTACAGCAGGTGAATATGATGCTTTTAGTTTAGGGAGCATATTATGATAAAGTCCTCAGTCATTAATGTTGTCATAATTGGGTCAAATCTGAGTTCCACCTAAAATATTACTCTTTAAATAATTAAATTGAAATATGTATATGCATAAGCAAGGAGTTTCAAGGGTTTGTTTTTTTTGTTTGTTTGTTTGTTTTTGGTAATACACATGAAATAAAGAACCATTTAAAAAGATCTGTCTGGGCTGGGGATGTGGCTCAAGCGGTAGCACGCTTGGCTGGCATGCTCGAGGCGCTGGGTTCGATCCTCAGCACCACATAAAAATAAAATAAAGATGTTGTGTCCACTGAAAACTAAAAAATAAATATTAAAAAATTCTCTCTCTCTCTCTTTAAAAAAAAAAAAAGATCTGTCTATATACATCAGTGGGTGAGAAGAAGTTTGAGAAGTACTGCTCAAGAGTTTTATAATCTATAAACACAACTTGCATATGCAATTAATGATGCAAATAACAAAAAGTTCCAGGGCAGTGAAGTTCAACAGAACTGTGTTTCAGAATATTCTGGTACATTTTGTGGATTATGAAATAACCTACAAAATATCTCTTAAACTGTTGATTATTAGAAAATGACTTATAAAAACACTCTTCATGAAACAAAAATTGACTTAAAAAAAGTGTTTTGTCTTTTATTCTGGTACTTAACTCTCAGAATATTCTTGATCTGACATCTGAGTCAAGTCCCAATAGGTAAGGTATGAGACTTAAAAGCAGCAGTTGGTACAAAATGATGATATATCTGTGCTCTTGACCCACAATAAAATACTCATCCATTTTATTTAGAATTAAATTTGATTTAAGACTGATAATTGAATTCAAAGGTATAAACTTCATAGCTCTTTTCCTTAAACTTCAAAGCAATTTATAATAATAGGCAAAATAATACAGCAAAAATCTCAGGAGAAATATTGTAGCTCAGAAATGCCTACTTTTTAAGAGCTTTGGCAACTTATTTATTTATTTATTTTGGTACTGGGGATTGAACTCAGGGCGCTTAACCACCAAGATCCATTCCAGCTGTTTATTTTGAGACAGAGTTCACTAAGTTGCTGAGGCTGGCTTTGAACTTGTGATCCTACTGCCTCGGCCTCCTGTTCTGCTGGAATTATAGGCATGCAACACTGCATCTGGCTTTGGCAACTCTTAACTACAAACAGAAGGATGAAATATTTCACCAAATGAAAGGCTGTGATATTAAGCCTTTAAAAACAATACTCTAAATTATGTTTTTTTTAATATTTATTTTTCGATGGACACAACATCTTTTTTTTATTTTTATGTGGTGCTGAGGATCGAACCCAGCGCCCCAAGCATGCCAGGCGAGCATGCTATGGCTTGAGCCATATCCCCAGCCCCTTGTTTTTTTTTTTTTAATGGCTGAGAAAATCAGTTCTACCTCAAGACCCATGAGTGGATGTCTTGGAGATCACAATGTCAGTGAGTCTCACACCAGTTCTATGTATGTTTAATCTGCAGCTGCATTCTATAAAAAGATCAATGAATGACTGTAGTTCTTGATCTCTGTATTACCTAAGTCAAATTAAATTTACCTTATTACTTACTGATTTATAAAGCAATTTACCCTTTTTTTGGATGAAAGGATTATTTCAATAGCCTAACTAATCTCCCCGCTTTAGCACTTGTTCTCTACAGTCTATTTTCTGTAAAACCACTAGAGAAGCCCCATTAAAAATGTCAGATTGCTCTTCTGCACAAAACTGTCCAGTCCCTATCAGAGGAAAAGCCTGTTTTAAATGGTTCACAAGGCCTTCCAATACACAATAATCCCACCCCTTTGCCCATCTCATACAACTCTTCACTTGCTAACTTCACTACAGTTACAACAGCTTCTTTGCTGTTGCTTGAATACTGCCTAGGTATATTTCAGACCCAGAGTCTTTGCATTTGCTGTTCCTTTTGCTGAGAGTGCTTTTTTCACAGTCATCACAAGGATCTACTATACAGTTTCCTTTAGGTCTTGGATCAAATATCACCTTCCCATATAAACCCTTCTTCCTCACCCATACTATCCTTTTTCTCTGTGTTTTTTTTTTTTTTTTTTTGGTATGTTTGTTGGTTTTGGTTTTGTTTTTACCATTTGACATTCTATCCTTTTTGTTTATCAAGTGTTCAACCCACAAGAGTGTGAACACCTCATGGGTGAAGATCATCTATTTTTTTTTTTTTATTCAGCACCAAGAACAAAGTCTAGTACGTAGTAAATGTTCAATAAATATTTGCTTAACGAACAAACATTACTCAGATTTGGAGACTTTCAGTCTGAACCCTATTGAGAGCTGGGCATAAGAGCTGGAAAGTATTCACAAATTTCCAAATGGTATTTGGCGTTTGTGAACTTGCATGCAGCATCTTTTGTCTAATACCTGGTTCTGATTTTTCTTAGTAAGACGGCAGTACAACTCTTAACTAGTTTGCAAGAAAGAGGAAACCCTATCATGCCTGATTAGATGATTGTTCATAAAGCAATAAAGAAAACGCCTTGTGAATTTATATAGTTTCTTCTCTTAATCTTAAGGAAAACAAAAATGAGTGTCTGTTGCCTTGGGAGGGGGACGGGAGGGGTGAAGGGCTGGGAGGGACGCGAAAGCCTGAAGACCTTCAAGAGTCAACTCTCCTGCAATCCAACTTACTTTTATGGGGGGGGGGGGCATCCTTCGAGGTCTCTGCCAGGGGTGCCTCTTTCTCACCCTCTGAGGTGCCTATTGTGCTGAGTGTTAAGGATGAGGTGAGGCGGGAGAGGAGAGGGTATGAAGGGATGCTGAGTGCGGCTCCAACTGCCTCCCAACACAAAGTCGCTAGGGGAGGGCTCGGCGCGAGTGTCTATGGGCGAGCGGGCGCCGGGGCCGCGCGTCTCGGACCGCAGCTCGGCCCTGGGGCGCTGGCGGGACGCGGGCTGCGCGGAGTTAGGCCCGGACCGAGCCCCGTGGCCTCCCGGCTGCCGGGCACGCGGCCCCGCGCACCGCACTCACCCCGGCCCCCCCAGTCCTGCGCCCTTCTCGGTTACCTCGAACTCTCTTCAGCGAAATAGGATCCTTCTCCTGTTCTGCTGACATTACAGACCGCCAAGCATGACTCCCCCCCAGGCCGCGGGAATTCGGTCTCTTTGATGCGGCGAAGGCGGCTCCTCCTCCTCGCGGGGCCGCTGCGGCTGTGAGGCGAGCCTCGGCGCCCAGGCGCAGCCGAGGGCGGCGGGGACGCGGGCCGACTTTGCAAAGTTTGGGAGGAGGACGAGGCCTCGGGGCGGCGGGGCAGCGTGCGGGGACTCCCCCGGCTCAGTGGCAGCGGCCGGGAGCGCGGCCTGGGGGCGGCCCCCAGCCCAGGGCCGGCATGTGCGAGGACGAAGCCGCCGCCACCGCCGATGCCACCTCCCACTCCTTCTTCTTCGCCGCCGCCGCCTCGGGAGCCACTGACAGGGGAGGCAGGAGGCGGGCGGCGCGGCCCTGGCGGCGCACTCACAGCGCCCTCTGAGGAGGAGGTCTGCGCTCTCGCCGCTCCCGAGTCGCAGACACAAAAGCCCCCAGCCTGGAGCCGCCTGCAAAACCCGCTCCGGGGCGGGCGAGGGACGTGGCGCGGCCCCGCGGCTTCCCCCCCCTGCGCTCCCAGCCCCGCGCGGGGACGGGCTTGGGGGGGGGGGGCGGGGGCCGCTGCCTCGTCCCGCGGCGCCTCCCGCCGCCGCCGCCGCCTCGCGCTCCGCCTCGGCCCAGCCCCCACGGCCCGCGCGCGCCTCTCACTCCGCGCCGGGGCTCGCGGGCCCGCGGCCCTGGCAGCCCGGGCGGGCAGCGCGCGCCGAGGGGCCGCCCCGCCCCGCGCCCCGCGCTCCCTCGCCGGCCGCCGGGCTTTCGGATGCCTGGCGCAGCGGCCAGCGCGCCCGACCGAGCTTCGGGGAGGAAGTGGCATCTCCCAACTTCTTCGGAAGCCACAGCAGGCATCTTGGCCTCGCAGCCAGGGATATGAAAGAGGAACGTACGAGGCGAGAAAACTTTGTAAGCGGGAGCTGTAGAGTTCTCGGCGGGCATGTGGAACCCCACATTCCCCGACTCGGTGTCCGTGGTCTGGACACCTGTTTCTGCAGTGTCCCAACCTGATGTTTTAACGGCTTACCTCCTCCAGAAAGAGAGACGTGGGGTAGAAGCGATGCGCCGGCTGGACCTCACGTAGACGTTAAATATTAGGAGGACTCTCGGTGACATTGTAGGTTAGATTTGACCACAGGTCCACATTCGTCGTTTGGGCTCTGTGACCTGAGACGATTCAGGGAACATCTCTGGATCTCAGTTTTCTGATCTATAAAAGGCAGTGAGGCTTCATCTCCAAGGTCCCTTTTAGCTGTGACATTCTTGATATACTTTCATGAAACAGGTCCCTGTTTCCTTTGTTTTCTAGTTATCCTACTAAAGAGAATTTGTAGGTGCAGATTCTAATCTCCAATCAGGTAAAACACGGCTTATTTTGATGTCAAAGTAACTGAAAAGGACTCATTAAGCATGTGAGAACCTAAAACTAACAGGACAAGACTCAGAACTTATTCAGTTACCCAGACCATAATGTCAAAGAGAATGGATGTAAACATAGAGCCAGTGTATAGTCCTATAGACTTACCAGCTAGACAACAGACCCGCAGCACAGCATAGGAACCTGCTTTTTAAAGGCAAACACGACTCTGATATCTAATGGAGCCGGTGGGGTTGGAATTCCTAATTAGAAGATTCACTAGGATAGGATGAGGAAAATGTTGATACAGGAGACACAACAGAGGAGAAGGGGTTTCCCCAACTAGAATATAAGCTCTACGAAGGCAGAAATTTTGTCCCGTCCGCTGCTGTGTTGTCTGGTACCTAACCGGCACATAGTAGGTGTTCAAAACATACTTGTTGAATGACTATATGAATAAGTAGACTAGAACTGGCCCTGTTACAAATGGGATTGTCATGGTGTGATAAAGTCAAAGCAAATGGCAAATATGATAAAGCAAATTGGATCTAACATCCTACTTCAAAGGATTGTTGAGGGCAGATGTAAAAGCTCTTTGGAAAAGTCAATATAAAAACACACATTTATATCAGTCAATATGAAAACATAAATAAACCTTAGTGCAAAGAGAACAGTTGAGAAAAAAAAATCATTGCTAAGAGATTTTAAGTTCTTTATTATAACTTCCTAAGGCTAGAGACTGAAAAGTAAGTCAAAAGAAACTGGCCTCTTTTCAATGGTTGATCAAGAATTAAAAGACCATCCTACTTGGACATCATTTTTTAAGATCAATTTAATTTCAAAATCCTGGCTTCTGGCTTGCACATATCAAAATTATCTGGAAAACATTCCTAAACTTAAGATTCCCAAACTCCCCTCCAGATTTACTGAATCAGGATCTCTGGGAATGAGGTCTGGAAATGTCTTTAAATGCTCTCTAAGGTGATTCAAAAGCAATAAACAGATTCGGTGATCTGTTTTTATGAATGGTATGAAATGAAGCATTGTTACTCAAAGATGTAGAAAAGTTATTGAGACAATAATTCTTCTTCTTAAAGAGTTCACAGTGCAAAGGATAAAGTAGAGGTTTAAACTAACATTGACGATGCACACGGCCAAGCACTACACTCGACTACCATGTCAGCACAGGAGAGAAACCCTCTACCCAGTTATAGAGGCAGAGGGCTGGTGACCTTTAAAAAATGTATATGGAGACTGGGGTTGTGACTCAGTGGTAGAGTGCTTGCCTCACACGTGTGAGGCCCTGGGTTCAATCCTCAGCACTACATAAAAATAAACAAATAAAATAAAGGTATTGTGTCCACCCACAACTAATAAATAAATATATATGTGTGTGTGTGTGTGTGTGTGTGTGTATATATATATATATATATATATATATATATATATATATATTGTTTATGAATAATTACTAGGCAAGGATAGATAATGGGGAATTATTGTTTTGTTTTGTTTTTTTTTATAAAAGGGGTTGGGGTTCACTGACAGGTCTCTCTAGTCTTTTTTTTTTTAAAGAGAGAGTGAGAGAGAGGGAGAATTTTAATATTTATTTTTTAGTATTTGGCGGACACAACATCTTTGTTTGTATGTGGTGCTGAGGATCGAACCCGGGCCGCACGCATGCCAGGCGAGCGCACTACCGCTTGAGCCACATCCCCAGCCCCAGGGAATTATTGTTAAATGGATAAGAAGTTTCAGTTTGGAATGATAAATATTTTCTGGAGATGGATAGTGGTGATGGTTGCACAATAGTGTAATTAATACCACTGAACTGTACTTTTCAAATTGTATGTTCATGTATTTTAACCACAAAAAAGAGGAGGGGGAGAACTTAAAATTAGCTAAACAGATTGGAAGAGCAAATGGAGTCTTATGATTAGTGGGAACCAAATTTCCAAAGGAAAAGAGGGGGTGAAAAAGTATGAATCTTTTAGAGACCTTAAGTTGTTAACAGTGGCTAGAACATAAGGTACCTTTTGAGAAGTGGCAGGAGCTGATTTCCAGAAAGTATACAGGGACCAGATCTCTGAAAGTCATTGCACGTCATACTAAGAATTTTTTTTTTTTTTTTCACGAAAGCAATAGGGAAACACTGAAAAGTTTAACTAGGTGAGTGACATATTTAGTTCTGTAATTGAGATCATTCTCCCTACAAGGTAAAGGACAGATTGGATCAGCACAAAACATTCCTGTCTACCAGGCATGGTGGTGCACACCAGTAGTCCCAGCTATTCAGGACACTAAGGCAGGAGAATCACTTTAACCCATAAGTTCAAGACCAACCTGGGCAACATAGCAAAATCCTTGTCTCCAAAAACGTGTATATGTGTGCTGCTATAGCATATAACAAAATACCACAAGCTGGTTTATTTATTAAGAAAATTAATTTGGTTTTCTCACAGTTCTGAGAAATAAATTTTCCTGGGTAGGAAGCTCAGCATCTGGTGCCAGCATCTGGCGAGGGCTGCTCGGCTGCTCTCCACTTTGAAGATAGTGTCTTGAATGCTGCATCCAGAGTGCAACAGTGCATTCTCACATGGCAAAAGGTGAAAAGGCAAAAAGTGTCTGAACTCCCTCCATCAAGCCCTTTTATAACGACACCTTATCCTGTTCGTGAGGGAGGAGACCTTATGGTTTAATGACCTCTTAAAGGTCCCACTTCCTAATCCGATCACATTAATAGCACCTAAGTTGTGAAGAAGGTACATTCAAACCATAGCAATTAGGAAATAATATATAAAATGAGGCAAGAGATCAGCGAGGGTCTTATACACTAAAGTAGAGTAGTGGAGAGGGATTACAGAGAATGGTGGCAAAAACTGACATCATGGTCAGTTTGGATGTGGAGTATGAGGGACAAATCAAGAATTTGCTCCCAGACTTAATTCAGCTGACAGAGAATACAGGAAGAGAAGATTTGTTAGCAATGGGTGGTGAGGTCAAGATGAGGTCAGTTTTGAACACCTTGAGTCTGAAGTGGGGAAGTCTTGCAGACAGATATACTAATGAATAATTCCCAAAGCCATACATATACCAACACATGAAATTACATTAACAGTTATGAGTTAACTTATATCAGTTTCACTTAAACAGTTATAATAACCTTATGCTGCATAACAAACAACCCCCAAACTTGATGGCTTAAAGAAAAATTTATTTGCTCATGATCCTATGTATAAGCAATTTGTGCTGAGCTAGAGTGGTTTTTCTCAACACCACATAGTGATGGCTGGGTGGACTCAAGAATTGGTGGTCAGCTAGTGGCCTTACTTTCATGTCTGGTGGTTGGCTGGTCGTCAGCAGGAACAATAAAGGAAACCGAACTGTTAGGATCCAGCCAGCTAGTCTGGGCTCTTTCATATGGTAGTGGTTATGGGATTTCCAAATGCACCAAGAGGGCAAATCCTAACTTGTGAGTACTTTTCAAGGCTTTGCTTATGTCTCATTGGCTAAAGCAATTAATTTGGCCAAACCTAAAGTCACTGAGGGACTGGATTACCCAAGGATTTGGATACAAGAGAAGCAGAACAAATTGGGATCATTACTGCATCAATCTATCACATATGTTCTTATTCTTGTGGCTCCTGAGGATAAGGGGGGTGGAAGAGGGAGACAGGAACACATGCTGCTCTTAAACAAATACTTTTACTCCCTCACAACATCTGTCATGTTCTTATACTCTTGTTCAATTTTGGAAATGTCAGTTTCCCATGAAGACCTATCAATATGCCTCACCACTGGTACTGATACCTAATATCCTGGATATAACATGACGTGGCCAGATACCAATCCTTAAGTATCAAAATAAAGCTGAAGTCTCACTGTGTTGAAGTGTGGCTCCAATCCATGCAGAAGTGAGGCAAATTAAGCTCTCTGCCCAGCCTAAATACTCTCTTTATGTCCCCAATATGACAGAATTCCTACTAAAAATATCCTTTCACCTTGCTGTCGTCATATCCATGGGACTTGGTTATGAGTTCCAGAATTGATCTTTATATCTCTTACTAAAAAGATGCAGCTAAGTGTTCTTGTGGGCCCACTCAATGGTTTAGAAACCATGCTTGAACACGCGTAAAGCTCAATAGAATATAAAAATGAGGTTAGAGCAAGGATAGGCAAACTTTTGTGAAGGGCCAGATAATGAAGCTCATAGGCTTTTCGGGTGATATGTCCTCTACCATAGCTACTCAGCAATATAAAAGCAACCATAGATAATCTGTAAACAAGTAGGTATAGTTGTGTTCCAATAATTTATTTATCAATGAGATTGTCTCCTATTTGGTCACTCTCCTGTGTGCGCCACTCACTGCATGATAGTCTGGTGCCCTGTTTGCAGCCTTTATCAGCCTCCTCTGCCACACAACAAACCTGACCTGCAGCCACAGTTCCCACTGCCACTGCCTTGGGACCTGCTCTATGATTAGGCCGCAATCATCAGTGAGCAAACATATTTCTCAGTTCTGTGGTTATAGATTTATGGAGTTTCTGAAGGACAATGGAGGTTGCTGCCAGACACAATGTGACT